GCTACAAGGTAGGGCGCGGCCCTTGCGGGGCTGGGGCCGGGGGACCCCCCGGGCGGGAAGGGCCTGCGGGCCCGCTCTCTGCTGTCCCTGCTGTCTTTCCCCGCCGGTTTGTGCGGCCTTTAAGCGCTGCCCCGGAGCCCGTGAAACGGCCTCCTAGGAAACCGGGCCGGCCGTGCCCCGGATGAGTCCGGCAGGCAGAGTCGCTGCCTAGGATACTGTTTTTGTGGCTTTTGTGCGATGAATCGAAGTGTTTTGAAACTCGTGCGAGTTAACAAGGTGGTATTTTTTTGTCTCCAGGCTCATGATTAATTAGTCAGCTGGAATGCGTGAATTGGAAAAAAATGGTAAAAGCAGAAGTGGTAGAAGGGAAACCCAGTAGGGTTATATTTAAGAAACATAAGTTTGAGCTCTTTCCAGAAAGAACAGGCTTTGTTGCTTTCTTTTCGGATGGAAATGTGTGTTTAATCGTCTTCACTGCAATTATTTTAGACACCTGTTCAGATAAAGGAGTTCGGTGCCGTAAATAAAATCGACTTCTCCCCGGTTGCTCCGTACAACTACGCCGTGACAGCCTCCTCCAGGGTGAGTGGCTTTTCCCAGCTTTCCGTCCTTGCCCTCCGTTGGCACCACGTGAGCAGCCTTAACGCCTTCCTGCTTTTGCTAGATCCACATTTACGGCCGCTACTCTCAGGAGCCGGTCAAAACGTTTTCTCGCTTCAAGGACGCCGCGTACTGCGCGACCTACCGGGAGGACGGCAGCCTGCTGGTGGCGGGCAGCGAGGAGGGCAGCATCCGCCTCTTCGACGTGGGCGGGAAGGCGCCCCTCAGGCAGTTTGACGGCCACACCAAGTAAGGCCGCTCGGTGTTTCCCTGTCTCTGCAAAGAGCTTGTTTGTTGTGTTGACCTGTGCGGGAGTAAATGCATGCTCTAGTTTAGGTAGGTGTCTTGTTAAGGTGTTGGGTGTTGTGGTTCCGTGATGGCAGGAAAAAGGGAGTTCTAATAAGTGGCTAAACAGAAACAGTGAAGAAGTACCCCAGGAAGAGAAGGAATCCCTTAAAAAAACCCCAAACAAGCAGAAAAAAGTGCATGATGGCAGGGTGGCGTTGGGGAGAAAAAGGATATTGAAGAGGAGTGCTGATATTCCAGTGAGAAGACAATGATAACACTTAGATTAAACAGGTTGCTGTGCTGTGGAAGACCAATACATGTTTTGTCTACCTAAAGAAATAAAAAGCTTCCTTTCCCAGGAAAGCACTGTCAGACCTTGAGAGTGTGTCTGTGTCTAGTCTGTAGTAGTAGATTGGGTGTTGATCTTATGTCCTAACCACTAGGTTGACTGTAATAAGAGTTTCTGTCATAGTCATTTTCTGTTGGGATGGTACGATGATAACACAAGATTTAGAGATACTGAAAGACAAGAAGCATGTCCAACCCAGTCATACTTAAAACTCACTAGTAGGTGGGATTTTTTTTTCTAAAGAGCAGTACTAGTACACAAACCTGTAAGTAACCAATGCAGAATTTTCAGCTTTCAAATCAGATCTGTAAAACATTTAAGGCAGATCATATCAGTGCTTAAGTGAGTGTTTGGCAGCATGACCCTTTTTTGACTGGAAATACAAGAACTAGTGTGTTTTGAACCTCTGAAGTGAGGCTTTGTAACTTCCAAGAGTAAATACATTGCACTTTTAAGTTAGAGATAATACTTTAATGACCTCTTAGTACAGATTAACTGTCTAGAAACATGGATATCTTTTAACTTTTAATATTGTGGACTTTGATTTCTAGAGCTATTCATGCAGTGGGCTTCCTGTCCGATAAATACAATATATTTTCTGGTGGTGATGATTATTCATCAAGTGTCTGGAATATTCCAAGGGCTAAAGAAGTAGTCTCATACAATGAACACACAGACTACGTGAGATGCGGCTGTGCAAGCAAAGTGAACGCAGATGTCTTCGTAACAGGTTTGATTTTATAGATGCTTCTTTCAGGTTGAATTGAAAAAAATGGCAGAAAGATAGTTTTTTATACAGCAGGATCTTGCTTATTATATTACAAAGATGGAGGATGTGTCTTCCTACTCAGTGCCTACTTTGTTGCTTGCTTTTTGA